CATAACATAACCAAATAATATATTAATACCCGTCACATTTTTTTACGTTATTTAACTTATTTATATACTCATGTACCCTCATAATATAATTACTCTGGTGAAACTTGAATATTTTAAAACACATTTTTAGAAAACCTTAATATATTCTCTATGCAATTTTTACTTTAAAATCAAATTCTGATTGGTTGTAAAGGGTGCTAGAATGGTGTTTCGGGTGTAAAAAACTAAATCTATAATGCATAAGTGCTTATGAAAAAATTTCCACCATATTCTGCATGCTTATTAATATCATCCACTTGTACAATTAAAATAAAGAATGCTATTCTCTTTGTTGAAATAAGCATACACGTCCAGGCCACATTTCGAAATCAGGACATATGTGAATACACAATATGTTGAATTTAGAGCACAGAAGACCTCATCATCTCTTAAAAGCAGAACACAGAAATTATGCCCATTTTATCTAAGTACAACCGAGAGATCTACACCCTCAGCAAATTCAGAACACGAAAGACTTACATTCACCTTAAACAGCAGTCGATTGACTATATGAATGATATTTAGTCTTTAATCCTTTGTATTTTCTGTTATTTTACTTTAATATGCATTGTCTTACCTGGGTATCCCTATTTAAGATAGCTTTATCACTCTGTGTCTCCCATATACCCATTCTGTCTTAATCTACTTAAAATTATAAGTTTATTAATTATAGTTTGATCTAAAATCAATCAGCTACCTAACTGGTAAGTGTGGTAATGGGTTGAAATTCATGTTTCTCTCTGCTTTATGACAAAGGGATGTCCAGAAAAAATTGTGGGCATGGTTATCTAGACCAATCTTCTGTGAATATACTATAAACTGACAATACACTTTGTTTCCCCCACAAATTTTAACAATGAATTTGCTTGTTTTCACCACTGTCTTACACTCACATTATCATCATTCACAGGTTGGCAAGGTTAGGTTAAATCAAACTGACTGATTTTACTTAAACTGTAAAATTTGCCCCAAATTAACCTAACCTTTCATGAAAGTTTAATATTCATGTACTAAACAAGCTTCTAAAATTAATAAATAACTTCCCATTTATTTTATTTGTGCACCACTCCACATCACAAATCTAGAAGGTCCTGTATATTTCACATTATCATATCCACAGATGCCTTCTGGTCTTAACATAAATGTAATTTTTCCACCTGAACTTATGCCAGATTATAATAGTGATCCTTATGGTTCCATGCCAGAGGGGAAGCTGTTCGTAAAAGAGGAAGGAACTTATGTTCAAGTGAAAAAGAATCTATACATTATTGTATGTGTCTAAGGGTGTATAAGACCTCATAGATTTACAATGGTATTTAAATTTAGTGTATAAACATATGTATATAAATGCTTTCCTGTCATGTTTGGAGGTACTGAAAAAGTGATCACGTTACCATTTGCTGTCTCATGTATGAGGGTATAGAAAGTGGCTTATAATACCATTTTCTATGTATCAATGTGAATGGGAAATGAGCAGTGCCGCTATTTTTTATGTATTATGTATAAGAAAATGCCCCCAGTACATTTTCTATGCATTTTAGATGAGGTATAATAATAACTTTTTCTGTGTACAGAAGCTCCCCTACTTACGAATAACATAGTTACGAACATTCATAGACACGAACAAAAACCTACCCATAATCTATCCATGTATGAATTCCTGTACTGTACTATATTATGAAGTTATTATTACTGTATTAAAATTCATTATTCATTAATACTGTATACTTTATGTTTTATGTAGTAGTTAAGTGTTTTTAGCCTAAGAAATTTACAGTACTGCATAAGTATTTAATGTACAACACTTTTTTTTTTTTTTTTACCTAAACACCACTTACGAACAATTCTACTTATGAACAGACTTCCAGAACGTAACTCGCACATAAGTTGGGGATTGTATGTATTATGCATAATATACCGAAAACAGAGCGTTCGCCATTTGCATACATTCTTGAATAATACAGACAGTCTCCAACTTCTGAACGAGTTAGGTTCCGGAAGTCTGTTCATAAGTAGAAATGTTAGTAAGTTGTGTTTAGGTAGAAAAAAAAAAAGGTTGTGTACAGTAAATACATATGAAGTACTGTACAGTACCTTTGTTTTACCTAAACACAACTTACGAACAATTCTACTTATGAACAGACTTCCGGAACCTAACTCGCTCGTAAGTTGGGGACTGTCTGTATTATGCATGAATGTATGAAAATGGTAAACACTCTGTTTTCTGTATATTGTGCATAGGAAAATGGTTAATTGTCGTTTTTTATGTGAGAGTAAAGATCGTTTTCCGAGTTGATCAGTAGAGCTGTCTCTCATATTACCGTTTTCTATGGTTACAATAAAGAAATCAAGATTAACTCCATATATGGTGATTCCAAACACTTTGAATGTTTGAAACCTTTGGTACATACCATGGAATAATATTAGTATTGTTATATTTATTGTTCATGCAAATTGTAAATAACAAATCACTCTTTGGTAAAGAAAATAAATAAATGTTAGTCTGTAGAATGGAAATGTATCCCTCCATTGACATTTAAACTAAGACAACCATTGTAAAATTATTATACATATATAGACTGATTTCTGCCTCTCAACCATAGTGATAATATCTGGCATGAGTACAAATTCGGTAATTATTATTATTATTATTATTATTATTATTATTATTATTATTATTATTATTATTATTAATAATAATTCAATTATTATTATTATTATTATTTTATATTATTATTATTATTATTATTATTATTATTATTATTATTATTATTATTATTATTATTCATTGCATATTATATGTAGGATATGAAATTTTGCATTTTTTGACAGTTTACTTAAACATAGATTTTCTAATTTAGGAGTTGTGTATATATATATATATATATATATATATATATATATATATATATATATATATATATATTATATATATATATATATATATTATATATAGTGGTCCTTCATCCTGCACTGTTAAATTTTATTTGGTTATGCAAGTTCCCGCCCTATTTTTAAACTGCATATGCTCTTGACCTTTTTATAATAGTACTTTCATTCTTTTCTTATATCTTATTCCCAGCTTCCCATAGACGTTATATTGTGCATAAATTACAGTACAAAACTTAACCATTACCTGATACATTTTAAATTCTATGCAAATAAATAAATATTAGTTATTGTAATATATTTCTAATGTATTTTATGTGCAACAGGTATGTTCAAAACCGCGCTCTTGCAAACCGCATTAGATGTGGGCCCACTGCATATATATATATATATATATATATATATATATATATATATATATATATATATATATATATATATATATATATATATATATATATATATATATATGATTCAATTTAGAGGACAAAAACACTCCTACTTTATTTACCATTTGCCAAGTTTAAAAAAAAAATTAGTGCTTTTGTTGTATAGCAAATATTTATTATTAATTCTAATTTTCTTAAGTTATAGTTTATAGAACATAAGGAATGAAGTACTGTATGTTTAATATATAAGTATATTATTATCATTAAAATTCAGAATGTGAATTAAATATTCTATGGTATGTTTAACTTTTCTTTTAAATAGTAAATGCAAATTTTGAACACCAAAAATTTTATTATTATTATTATTATTATTATTATTATTATTATTATTATTATTATTACATTTATTATTATTAATTGTAGAAAGTCTTTCATTTCTATTTAATTAAGAATTTAAATTTGACGATTATATATATATATATATATATATATATATATATATATATATATATATATATATATATATATATATATATATATATATATATATATATATATGCTTGCTTTCAGACAGGTTGAAAAAAAAATATACATGATTACAAGAACACTTGTCTTTTTTTTTTAGTAAGTCCTTAACGAGAGGGAGAGAGAGAGACCCATCTCACATGAGCCTAGCATTATAAATTACTGAGCATGTGATGGGATCGAACCACGGAATGTATGGCTACGAATTCCAAGAACGAGAAGCTGGTATTTCCGTCGTTCAATATGTGATGGCTCAGCCTATATGCACTGCTAGGGCGTGTAATGCCGTTGCCTACGCTACGCAGTGCCAGTGTTGCCACACCAAGAAAATTCTGGATTTCTTCAGATTCTATAGCAAATAAAAGAATTTACATGGAAATGAAATCTAACTTAACCTAGCCTGACCTAATCTCGTGTGTATGTAGATGGTATAACCTGTACTCGCTAGGTGGCACATGTGTTGCCTGACAGGAATGACATGCATATAATCTCTTATATACACTACAAGTGTGTATACTGGTGCTGTGTACTCTAAGAAGCAGTATTATACAGACAGTAAGATATGTGCGGCACAAAAAACGGGAAACAAAACAATTATAAAAAAAAATCTTAATTACTTTCGTAATTCATGTATTCAGTATTTTGTAAATATGCAATAAATAAATAGAAAAATATAAAGTAATGCCATATTAAAAATATTACGGAAAACACATAGAAAAGAGACACTGAGCAACAAACAAACAAAGAAAAAACATTTTCTGAGAGAGAGGACGAGAGCTCCTGAAGATGGTGTCAAGAGAAACCGACTTAAAAAGAGAGAATTAAACCTTTAGGAGAGACTGATATAAAAAGAGAAGTGACGTTTAAATGGAAACTTAAAGGAAAGAGAAAATGTAAGCTTGAAGAGAAAACTGAAACGAAGAGAAACTGAAATAAAAGATAAAATAGAAATTTGAAGAGAAATAAATGTAAAATAGATAATATATGTCTGAAGAAAAACTAATATAAAAATATACGGAAATTTTAAGAGCAACCTCTAATAACAAAAAATAAATGAATAAAATTCAGCAAGGAAACTTATAAAGAAACCGAATTCTTGGAGTCTATTTACAGATATTATAAACGAAAATATAAAACAAAATCCTAAATAGCGCAAATTTTATTTTGGGCGGCGATGGGATTCGAACCCATTCCTCCAAAGAATGGTTGGTGCCTTAGACCACTCGGCCAAAAAATTAAGGAACATTTAATGGCCTTAAAATTGGTCTTGGATTGGTTGGTTTTTGTTATGACGTCACACGTTGCCTATTCTGATTAGCTAATTTTGAGGAAAATTTTAATGACGTCATTCTTGGTAAAATCTCACTGGTTATAAGGAATGACGTCAATAATGTAACAATTGTCATTGGCTCTGTTAATTATTGCACGATGTTATGATTCTGGGTCATGTTCAACACTTTTACACGGATATATATATATATATATATATATATATATATATATATATATATATATATATATATATATATATATATATATATATATATATATATATATATATATATATATATATATATATATATATATATATATATATATATATATATATATATATATATATATATATATATATATATATATATATATATATATATATCGTATAATGTGTCATGGGCTCAATCGCGGGTCTGTTAAAATAAGAATACAGATAAAACACAAAAACTGAATGAACAATAATTAAAACTAAATTAAATAAACAAATAATATATTAAGATTCATTATTTTATCGATCGGGAATTGACAGACTCGTGATCGAGCTTTGTTTACTAATAGATAAATGTCAAAATACGAGAACTAGAAGTATAAACAAAACACTACATATATAATGTAGTTTTCTCTCTCCTACAACTAGTAAATAAACACCATAAAAGGTTTGAGATTTCCTAGTAAATTCTACTATGGAATGCTTAGAATTCCCTTTTGTGTTGCCAGCTAACTTCCTTTCCAAGAAGTCTTGGAGTTATTCCACAAAATACTTCTCAGAATTCACGACCCCAATACGAAAGTATTCTAGGAAGAGACGACCCCCCCCCCTCCATCATTACTCCCCCAACCCCTGGGATATATATTCTTGCCAAATACTGCTAGATAAATATTATTTATTAAAAAAATATATATTTAACTATCTATATAAATATTGACAATTGTATTAAGAGATTATAAATTCATCTAACAAATTTTCGTCCGTGTTCTTTAATAAATAACAGTCAGGTATATATATAAACATTGTTTAAGCTACGAAAAACGGTTGGCGAATATCGCTAGACAATATAATCTATAATATATATATATATATATATATATATATATATATATATATATATATATATATATATATATATATATATATATATATATATATATATATATATATATATATATATATATATATATATATATATATATATATATATAACCGTTTTAAAGTGACCAATTGTAGGGCGCGCAAGAACGTACACCCCGTAAATATAAATGCAGCTTCTGAGAATTAATGTGTTACCGTTTGATATAATCAGATATATTTGTTGCTATGTATACAATAAAATATCTTCATGATATATATATATATATATATATATATATATATATATATATATATATATATATATATATATATATATATATATATATATATATATATATATATATATATATATATATATATATATATATATATATATATATGGTAGGAAAAGCCCATTAAATAAAACAACCATTTTAGGATGTATGTTAACAGTTCAGTGTTATATATATATATATATATATATATATATATATATATATATATATATATATATATATATATATATATATATATATATATATATATATAAGCCATATTATTATCAGCCAAGATAAAAAGTTCACGTGCTTTTCGTAATAAATGTTATCTGAAGACTAGGAACTCATGCCTTTTATCAACAGCTAAGGAAAGTTAGGTTAGGCTATTTTAGGTTAGAATTTGAGCTTTTTTATGATTGTGACACCAGGCCGGGCCTAAAAAAAATAAATCTACCCTCATCGGGCCTGGGCGCGAACAAAACAGAAACAGAAACAGGGATGGGGAGTATTACTAGTCAGATGTGAAGGGATAATAAGACACTTGTAACGAATAACCAAGAATATTCGGTGATTATGTAGGCATAGGAAGAGAATCGTAACTGAAGGAACTGTCCTGGACAGTCTTAATTAAGTCCACAAAACCCTTCAGTTGTAGTATCGCAACTGGCGATTGATGCCATGGACCAACCTACTCCTTGGACTTTAAGCTAAAATTCTAACTTAACCTAACCTAACCTCTATTCGTTGTTGATAAAAGTCAGGTCCCACTTCTTCAGGAGCTCTAGTCTCCATGCTGGATTCGTGATATGGGAAAATTGTTGCTCTTCCTCTTTTTCTGTGTTGGTATCACTTTTCAACATCTAGCGAGATGAATTTCCTTTCAGATAACCTATGTAACGATGCTTTCTAAGACAGAGACAATGTGACACCAGGCCTTTAAGCTAAAATTCAAACTTAACCTAACCTAACCTCTATTCGTTGTTGATTAACAAACAGGCTGCCAAACCCAGAGACATAATATTGTCTCATGTTAAAGTTACAAATCTTATTCTACGGAGAACTAGCAGGATAAAGTTCATGGTGTTTTTCTTGAATAAATGTTAGACTTAAAAATCCACTTAAAAATGTAACATTGGTACAAGAACGAGGGGAAAATTACTTCAAGTGCTAGTTGTGCATTGATATAAAGATTTTTTATCTATTGTAGTAGTGTAAATATTTGGATGCTTTTGCGTGAACCAGTGGCCAGCGATGCAAGTTCGGTTTCCTCGACACTAAACTATATCTTGAACAAGTTACAATCCTTTATCTGAGGAGAAATAGCTTAGTAAAATTTACGTGCCTTTCTTAACTTCTATTTGCATAAAAAGATTCCAAGTTGGGTTTGCGATTATGGAAAAGTGCTGCTCTTTCAGGATGGCATCATATCTCGATTATGAGATAACCTGCAACGATGCTATTGTGCAGACGAATCGCAGGGAAGATTCAAACAGATTAAGAATAGGAAAATAGATCTAGACACAATGTTGTCTCTTGCTAGAATTACAAATACTAATCTAAGCTCCAACACTAAATCACGTGTCTTTCGTGAATATATATATATATATATATATATATATATATATATATATATATATATATATATATATATATATATATATATATATATATATATATATATATATATATATATATATATATATATATATATATATATATATATATATATATATACAGTAGTAAATTGATACTTTGTTTACAATTTCATACCGGATGCGCTTTAATGCACAAACTTTTAAGTATAAAAACAAAGGCAAAAGATTAAAGTTGTGACGTCACGAGTCACATGACGACCACCAGGCTGACGTATCCTACTATTAATAGACAGAGGTGACGTCACCCTAAACGATATGAAGAGGGTGGAGCCGAATATTTCTTAAATTGTTTCGCACGAATCTGATTTCATGATGCCCATATTTCATAATGAATCGTATCAAAGCTAATTTATAAGCCACTTACTTTTATCTTGACTATATGTTTTATAAGTCAGACTACTTAAATAATGATTAGGTGAGCGAATCTCGAAAAAATAAGGATTGAGCGAACGAACCATTTAGCTCATGAACGAAATTCTGCAACGGTGGACCCAGACAGGGAAGCATATAGGTTTGAGTCCACTCCAAGAGGAAGGCAGTGTATGAGTCATCGGCAAAGGGGGAGGAGTCCTCGCGAACGTTTGCGATTCCCACCTCGTGTCTTTCTCGTAGTGCGTTTTTTAAGGTTGACGCTCTTCAATGTTAGTCAGAAGGAGCTTACGCCAGCAGGTGAAACGTAAAAGGAAATACTCTGGCTGTGACTCAAGCCCTCAGGAATCCTCAGAAGACTCCCCCATCACCTCCTCCCCTACAGAATCACCAACCATGTTCACTCGGGCTCAAGCCTCGGCCGTCAATGCCGTCTCCTCTGCTACAGCTGCATCGGGAGGAGGAACCAAGTCATCTATTATTACTTCGTCAGCGACTTCGGCGATACCTCTCACCGTCACCGATATTTCCGACAGAGTGATCGCGTCTTCGGAATCGGTCATCACGACTGCTTCAGTAGGTGTGCCACAGGGCACTTCCGGTGCCACAACTACTGAGAATTGTTCCATTGTGGGTACTTCAGTGCCCAATGTCAGTTTGACGATCACAGCTGTAGCTGCGCCTAATTTAACAGATGGTTTACCAATTATCACCACAACCAACGTGCCTGCATTAGATACACCTACTATCACTAATTTAGTGGTGAGTACTGCATTACTTTGGTGATAAACTAGATGTAAATTATGTGTCTTTAATATATATATATATATATATATATATATATATATATATATATATATATATATATATATATATATATATATATATATATAGATCATAAGTGACAAAATATATTCAAAACTTCTCAAAAGAAAGTACGAAAACGACATTTTCAGAGGAAAAGTACGATACTCACGTTGATAAGGCACAAAATTTACCCTAGTTTATGCCGATTTTATATATTAAATTACATTCAATTCCTAAGTTTAAATGATTATAAATCCTATTACGTAGGTTTTGGTAAATGTTTAGGAATTCTAAACACGAATTCAGAACATTCTAGAAACAAGTGTCGATTCTAAACCCTCCTTTATCAGTTGGGGCGTAAACAGGGAAAACCCCATCACTGCAACTGTTTAAATATGTGAATTTATAAGCATTTAATCTAGTGCTAAACACCATGCAACAACAGATTTAAACAGAAAACTACTTATTTTAGTTATATTTATAACTTCAAAGTCATAATAAAAGTTTAAAAATAAATTTGGAACACTTTATAAAGATATATCACCGTACGATCATATTTCCGCTCGCTCACAAAGAGAAGAAACTTGGTCGAATTCGGTGTGCCAGACGAACGATTCGTCTGCCTTATAAATGCGCATTTCTGCACTTTTTGCGAAAAGTTCAGTTATCTAGTCCTGAAGTAGCATACACTAAGTTCAGCCGACATTTAATTTACATAAGATGATGAAATAAATGCCCACAAACACGTCACATTGGCACTAAATATAATAATTGCTTAAAGTGATG